GGTGGGGGTGGTGGGGCTGGGGCTCCCTCCCCGGGGATGATCTGGAGGCAGCTGCCATCCAGGCCCCCAGCCCCCTCCCCATCGTCACCCTCATCTTCCTCTCCAGGACACTGGCCTGAGACTGTCTGCAGCTGCACAGCAGATCCCCCTGCTAGGCCGGCCCGACCCAGTGAGTATTTCCGTCGGTGCCCTCGTCTGCCTTCCCGCAGGCAGGCCACATAAAGGAGGGAGGAGGCCAGGATGAGGCAGAGGCCACCAAGTGCAGCAATGGCTAGTACATAGAGCAGCCTCACATCGGGTGCCAGCTGTGCCCCAGGCATGGCAGGGGCTTGTGGAGCTGGGGCAGGAGTGGCCGGCCGGACCGTGAGGCTATAGGAGGCCAGCAGGGTGCGGAGGCCATTCTCTTCAGCATAGCAGCCATAGTTGCCACTGTGCTCCGGCTGTGTGTCTGTCACCAGCAGCCCATCCACACCCACGCGGTAGCCATCCTGCCCATCACTCAGGCCCATGCTCCCATTGAGTAGCCACAAGGCTCGGGCCAGGTTGGATGGCTGGTCACAGGGCAGGAGGACATCATCACCCCGGAGCACAGAGCGGGTCTTCAGTGGTGGTGGCGGCCCTGGGAGGGGAGAGGAGAGGTCAATGCTTACATTGAAGATGGCAAGCCAGATCGTTCACTGCTAAGTCCCTGACAGCAAGCACAGAATCTGGAGTCACAGGGACAGCTGAGCGAGCGTCTGTGCTCACGCTTCCACGTAAGGTTCACACTGGCTCTTCCCAGGAAGCAGGCAGTGCCTTGGGCACTTTTCCATTTCTCTGTCCATGCTCTTGTTCTCTCCTGTGGTTTCAATTCTTGCCATCTGCCAATGACTCCTAATCTCTACCTCCAGTACAGACCTCTCTCCTGAGTGCCAGACTTGAATGTCTACATGTGCTGGACATTTCCATGTGAGGTCTCTTGGGTACTTCATTAAGGCCGAAGCATGTCTCCCAAACTACACCAGGTCCTTTCCTTGTATTGCCACCACTGTTGAACGGCACCACCAGCTACCCAGTTGCTTGTCAGAAACCTGGAAGTCTCCCTTGCCACTCTTTCTTCCTGACCTATGTATCCAGCCCTCACCAAGATTCTGTTTCCAGAATCCATCTCAGACTCGTTCACTTCTCTCCTTCTATGACTGCCAGCCCACTCTGGCCCCCAGCTAATCCATTCTCCATGGAGCAATGGGGTGATCTTTTAAAAACACAAATCTAGGCTGGGTGCGGTGGCTC